CCTCTTGTGATGAGCTCTGTGTATGGAACAGTATGCCATCCCCAGGGTCTCTTAACTACAAAATACCTGTCTCCTTGTAGCCAGCTTTCATCTCAGATGCCATGAGAGGTTTTGTTTGGTGTCTGTCTGTGTCTGCTATACACCCTATGGACGCAGACGACAGCGTTATATCAACCTCATGGCGGTTAGTTGAACCTTTCCCTTCGTAATAAAACAAATCACTGGATTTTTAAAATGAATCAACCCCTTGTTGCAGCATGGATCATTCACTGGTCTCTTATCTTTGACGGCATTCCAAGGAGCGCTGCAAAAACAACGATTTAAGACATTCACACGCCATTTATAGGAGTTTGGGTTTCATATAGCATTTTCCAGTTGAGTTCTCTAAATAGTAAAGCTGCCTTCATACATTTCACTGTTTTATTCTTTCCTCTAACAACACGTCTTGTATCCTGCACCCCACAGCGAACACAATAAGTGTGAGATTGGTATTGGTTCTCCCAGGTGTAGCTTTGGTAAAGATGGCGGTCAGTTATCTCTACTTATATTTGTACCAATCTAATGTTATATCTTAAAACATTCCAGTGCTGCCAGTCTGTGCAGATCTGCCAGGTGTGGCTGTTTTCTGCAAGGCTATTATGATGCTTTTATGATAATATTATTAAGAACTATTTCAATGAAGTGTGAAAAACCAGGGTATTGGGAATTACCCGCCCTGCTGATCTGGCAACCAGCTGCACTACACGTTATTGGCCGTCTGCGCTGGCAGCGGTAGCATCTGAATGCGATGACCAACAACAATGTGCAGCTTTATACTCGAGTCCGTTTATGAGTCTGTAAAGTTTGCTCTTATTGACCTGAAAACTTTAGAGCTGTGTTGCTTCTAAAAGAGGACTGAGCTCCAGAAATGTATGTGTAGATGGTTCAGAGTAGCAGTAGATGGTTTTATTGTAAAAAATCTAGATCTAGATTTCTACATTTCTAATTAATGATTATAGTCTGACATTTACATTAATGAAAAATAATGCAAAAGGGATGCACGATATATCGACGACCACATCGGTATCGGCCGATATTAGTGTTTTTTCCGATATATCGGTATCGGTCAGATGAACAAATTTAGTCGATGTGAAAAACCGACGATTGTCTGACATCAGCGCCTTCGTCTCTACGTTTGATGTTGCTGCTATTTCACAGCTGTTTTTACTTAAATGGTCCTGGACTTAAATATGTTTTACTTTTGCTACGTAATAAAGAAGACTGTGTGGTCTAATTTGTAGAGCTGGATCCAAATAGCCGAATAGCCGTTTGTTCGTTCGTTCATTCGTTCACTGTGCTGGAATCGGGATATCAATTTTGATCTCTGCCACTGCCACTGATGGCGGAAACACCCGCTTACTGCTGCCCCATCGGACCGAATGCTCAATACTCGGGATATTCGTCATTAATTGGGGCCGAATATCTGGAGAACAGAAATTGCTATTCGGCCCAGTCCTACTAATTTGGGATTCTTTTGAATAGTTTTCTCACAATGCTTACTAACACAAAATTTAATTGTGAACAAAAATTGAATATCGACATCGGTGATATCTGTGATATCTGTGATATCGGTTATCGGCGATATCAGAAATCTGGTTTTGGGGTATCGGCCAGAAATTTTAATATCGCGCATCACTAAAAATAAGCTTTAAAAATCAGAAAATAAATGTCTGATACACATCCTGTTCTGGGTAAATTATATAAGCAGATTCCTACTGCATAAACCTTTTGGATAGTTTCAACATGTGTTAGCGTGTGTGTGTATATAAAAGATAAAACAAGACACAGAGCATGTGCAAACATGTACGACTGTACAGAACATCCATACAGCTGCATGGAAGAAAAAAAAACAAACATTCATCCGTGAGTTAATCTATGACGGGTTAAATTAAGCAAAATACCTCAATCTAAGACCCAGAGTCAGATTTTGTGTGTTTTTTTTACAATTATGAATGCCTTTCATAACAAAATTCATTTATACCATCTGAAAACAACAGTGTGGTGAGGACGGAGAAAACGTTCCCCAATGTGAGAATAACAAAACAATGTAAACAGAGCAGAACAAAGTGTTGCTGGTTCTGTACAGGAATCAAGATGACATCATACTGGTACCTAACTGTGTGCACCAGCCTGTTCAGTGCTATAAACCCAGACAAACTTGTGTAACTAAGCCGATGCTAATCCCAGCTCTCTCACAGACTCGTAACCTATAGAACTGGGGGCTCACCAGATTCACTCAGTCAGGCAGCAGACAGAGCGCTTGCTAGCCTGTTAGCCTGTTAGCTGGTTAGCCATGGCTGCCATCTTTGAACTTTGGAGGTGCTGCAATTTTGTTAAGTTACTCAACTTTTAGTGGCCGTTCTTGATCGTAGTCATTGGTCTGCATTTTGATTTAAATATTTTCACAGCTGATTTCTCGCTTCTGCTCGTCTTGTGATGCAAACAATGTGCACATAAGCTGGTAATAATACACATGCAGATTCAACAGTGATGCACCTTTTGATTTAATATTCTATCAGCTTCATGTAGCCTGCAGCTGATGTTTTGGGGGGAAAAGGAAGCGTACTGTTCTACCTTCATGTTAGCGTGCCCCAAACACAAAAAAACAAAACCTGAAAAACCTGAAACACCCGACATGTTTAGAGGTCTGGACCCAGAATATGTCAGAAGAAAACAAATGCTTGAACGTTGTGGCTCTGTTGCATGATATTGTCCTTCAGATAGCAGACATGGAGCAACACTTGGAAACAGGCAGAAGTCACAAACAGTAAGATTGCTTTGACATTTGCTCACAAATATGTCAGAGGAATAAGAGAAACAGGGAATACGGCGTAATTCCAGCTTCATAAGATTCAAATCACCGACTTCACTGCAATTTTTAACAGAGAGAAAAATAAACTGGATGCTCCCCACATCAGCGGTGTTACTGGCCAGGATTCATCGTGTTAAACATCTACAGCTACAAACCTTTGCGTGAATCAGCGGCGTCCTGATGCTACCATATAGCAGCGCCCTACTACGTCTGACTGTTTATGAATATGGCCGCTGTATAACTTTCATAAACTCATTTCACATCCGGTTTCACATACACTAACCAGAAACCTCGGCTCGGTCTATTCAAATTAAAACATGGTTCCTTTTTGTCTTTAAGACAGACCCCCATGGCACCTTCCCGGGTTTGGGGAATTGTCACAGTTCATGGCATGATGGGATTGGCACTGAAATGCAGGAACAGTTGCAGGGCTGAACAACAAGCACTGTCCCTAGAAGCAGCACCCATACACAAGTCCGATAGCAATCTGTTACAGTCCCACCAAACTCTGACGTGTTAAGAAGGAGTGCTGCAACCACAATTGTGCCTTTAATCTTGAAAAAACGTTTTCTTTAAATCAACAGGTTTTGCGGCATTAATCCTACAACATCCGAGCATCGTTCCTCTGCCGTTTCTACACATAAGGATGTACGAAAACCATTTCACTCCTGCGTCTGAGATTCTCATTCAGTCGGACCAGAGACTCAGCTACTGGTGAGACATCTGTAACCGGATACAGAGCACATCTGGCCAGACAAACCTCCATTCAACCCTGCAGTTGTCTCTTCAGCAGATTTTAAGGCAGATTCAACACCACAAAAACAAAACATTTCTTTTGGTTTGTTACCGTTTAATCTATCTTAAGTGACGATATTTTTAGAGTTGAAGAGATGAAAACTTGAAGGACAACCCTGTGAATAGTTCCTTTTGATTTGAGGCTATTAAGCAGCTTTCAGTGGATTTCATTTGGCTTCAGTTTATGTTAAATCCCATCCAGTTACAATAACTCCTCTTTATCTATCTAGTTTAATTTTCAAGAAAACTTGGATTTAAGCTCCTCTAGTTTCATATTTAATGTGAATCAACAAGTATGAGTCACAGAATTTGGTCCACACTTATCAAAATGATATATTAAAATAATTTACAGTCACAGTTTAACAGGAAGCTGGATGTTCGTATCACATTGAGAATACCCGCTGAGTGGGAGTGGGAGCCCTGCACTTAGCATTGCTCATTTATAACTGTAGAAAAAACGGATTTTCACGCTTTAATCTGCTGCAGAGGGGCAGCTTCTCTGGCAGCCCCGCTCTGTATGGCCACGGGGAAATTGGAGGAAGAGACGTCGGGGAGGGTCCTGTTGTCTGAGCCCACATCTTTGTAGTGGCAACTGAGGGGCTTCGCTGCAACTCCTAGAATTTACATTTTGTTTGGCCGGAGGGGTCACATGACAGCTGCAAGCGAATGCTCTGAGGGGCTTTCTGCTTTCACTTGACACTGACAGGCTGTGAGACGGTCCAACACCACAGAGAGAAAATATTCCCTCTTTCCATGACATCACCCAGCCAGGAATGGGGGGGAAGTGGAGGGAGGAGAGGGGGCACAGCTGGTGGCAGCCACAGTACCATCTGCTACTGACTAATAGTTCATGCTGCTTTACTTATAAACTTGCACTTCTGTGAACCAGAGTGGCGGCTGCACGGTCAACATAACGGTCCTATAATATCACATTACTCGGCGCGGCCCATGCGTCGATGCACGTTTTAAAGGAACAGTTCAACTTTTTAGCGATACCCTTATTGATTTATTTTTTGCCGTTGAACGTGAAGTGAATCCACACAAACACTCAACAGGTTGTGGTCTGAACAAGGCTCCTGTGCTGCTGTATTTCTTAGGAAGGTGCCATTAATCCGTGGAGGCCAAAAATGGTCCAACACACTTTTATTTCTCAGTTGACCAAATGAGATATGACATGAGCAATGCTACCTGTTTCCCCAGTCTTTATGCTAAGCTAAACAGGACGGACGTGAGCCGCTCTCCACTGTGTCCCAAACTGTTCCCACTCTTTCGGCTTTTTAAACAAACATACATAAACACAGGTACAGCTCGGGTTAAAACACACACTTCACACACACACACAAACTGTACTCACCATACATCTTTCCCTCATCAGAGAGAATGATCTTCCTGCGCCCACAGGGAGGATAGATGGCCAGGGCCTCCTGGAAGCTCTGTTCAATGTCAGGGCTCCACACCCCCTCGGCATCATTGTCCACGGGCTTGTCTGCCGAGTCGCTCATCCTCTCCATGTCCTCGGCAGGGCTCTCGCTGCCGCTCCAGCTGCTGGGATCAATCGTGGCGGTTGGGCTCTCCAAGCTAAAGCCTGGAGCAGACTAGGGAGAGACCTGGAATTCCCAAATAAACAAACAAAACCCAGTCGTCACTACCACAACAGAACAGCAGAGAGCCGCTTCCAAGAGTACAACACAGCGCACACTGTTAGCTGAGAGCACAATATGGAGCGGCGGCAGCCAAACAAGCTCGGACATCGCCAAGAATGTTGTTGACTTGATTTACAATGGATGCTATGGCTTTAAACGACTGAACATCTCGTCTCATGCGCTTCCCACTTATTAAATGACGTGACACAGAGCGAACGGCTGCGTTCAGAACTCGTTTAGACGTCAGATGGATGCTTCAGACTTCGGACCTTCATGTAAAATCTGTTTAGAGCCGAAGAGTTAAATAGTCAAACTAATATTCTACCCTTATTTTGGACCCGTGGGATTTTAGTTGTACACATTTCTACAAGCTATAACAAGTATTGTGCCAGAAGTCAGCGCGTAAAGTAAAGCAAGAAAGTCGTGACATCCTTTATTACCGCTGCTGCTGCTGCTGAGGGACACTCCAGCAAAGATCTCAAAGTCTTCAGGAAGACTGAGATTGCAGTTGGCAGTTTTTAGTTTCTTCTTCTTCTTGTTCACATTCAACAAGACTACGCGGCGTAAATGAAAGAAGTTTAAAAAAAGGCAGCGTGGCCACTAATCTGTAGCGCCCACGTCACCAGTCGGCCGCAGCCATCGCACACTGTGACGGCATAAAGAAACCAGACACTCGAGCATCGCAGAGAAGCCGGAGCCAAGCTGCTCACACAGAAAGAGAGAAAGTCTCATCGCAGCAGCTGACGAGACCAGAGAGCTCCGGGTGACTCTGCAGCAAACACACCGAGGGCTACGTCGCTATACGTAAAACCCGTACTGTCACACACGATATGGGAAATCACTGCTACACACACTACCAGATCATGACTCGATCAGTGCACCGGCGGATCTTCAATCAGTCTTTATGAATGGAAAACAGGCTGCGTTAGCCTGAACCAGGACTTTGAAAGAATTTAATAACACGGATGAATAAGACAAATAACATAAAGGATGTTGTACGTCGAGTGCGGACAGCGACAACAGACATCGTGTTGACTTTATCCTTGTCAGATTTGTCTGGGAGATCGTGCGGCTTAAGAGGTGGAGAACGTCCAAAAACAGACAAAACCAGCAATCGAGCGTGCAGTTGTGTTTGTACACATCCATGCCAGCGCAGTTGTGGTGACTATAAATTAAGGCTTTGCAAGGGAACAAGTATTATTATACTGGAGGGGGAAAGAAAAGAAAAGAAAAGAAAAGAATCATCTCCCAGAAGTTGCCAGTTCCAGATGCGTTAACACTTGGAAAGTGTTGCAGCAATCAAGTCAAACACAGCGTACACAAACAGGCATGACAAAACTGCATAAACAAGATTCGGTGGAAGAAGAAAAGTTTTGGAGAGCATGGAAGAGTACGATCTTCTAAAGTCACAGAGATGAAAGCTGGAGGTCACGAGCTGCCGTGGGATCGATGATGTTGGTATAGTTCTCCTGCGACCAACAGGTGAAGAGGAATTAAACCGACGGGTTGCACGAAGCAGGTTTGCGTCTTTCAGATCAATGCCTACACCTTCGGATGCTTCCACTTCTACTGCGAGAACTGAAATGTTTTTCTCGGCTTCGTGTGTGTCTGTATGCACAATATATAGATATCATATGTAGTGATTGAATAAATCCAGTGTTAAATCCAGATATCGCCTCACAACAAAGTCAGACCAGCATTCAGTAACACGTGAGCTCTACTTTAAACTTTTTCCTTCATGAACTCGAGACCAAACACAAGAACAGACTGAACTTTCCATACGTTTGTGTCACTCTCCCACCGACTTAAATTCACAACAAACTGCTTCTGTGCTATACTTTGTCTATTAACAATTCATCGGGGTTTCTTTCCGTACTTAATCTCTCCGCTCTTTCCAGACAACTGCTTCCTCCCTGAGCAAGATCCTATTCAAGCAGCACAAGCTGTCAGGAAGTGGGAATAGTAGCATATGTTTCTTCCAGCATGTCAGTTCGTGAGGGGGAAAGGGGGGGATGGGAGCAAGCTGTTGGGGAAAGAAAAAAAAAAACTCCCAGTGAGCAGAGAGAGCTTTTACTGAATTCCGTTTTTGTGTGCTGACTGCTGACGCTGCAGAACCGACTCACAAACTGATGAGGGAGGGGAAACATTCCCGTTTCGACCGCTAAAAGGCTGCGACTCTCTCTGTGGATGTGCTCCTCTCATCCCAACCCAATGATGAACTGCGCTCATAATCACATCCAGATTCCATGTTCGTCTCAAAAAAATGAGGAGGAAAACGCTCGCCTGGTTTTGTCCAAAACACCGAATTAATGAAAGGCCAGTAAACCCTCATAAGCCTAATAAATCGTTCTGCGCAACTTTTTTAAAAACTCATTCAGATAAAAACAAACGTTACAGCTTCACGATAAGTCTAATGCTGGTTCATCATTTATGTTTCGTAGATCCTTCTCTTATACTTTGAGCAGACTTTATGGCGTTCCTCCAAACATTGCACCACAAAACAAACAATAGCACCACTGTTGCTTATGTTTGCTAAATGTGTGAATCTTGCAATTTACCAGTTATAATCAGGTATCGCACAGTGATACCTTCTACCTTTACCTCTACTTTTATTCAGATTAAAGCTTCGTTTACACGGTTATGCATCAATAATCGATGTTGCTCCTCTGACTGAGTAACTGTTAAACACATTTTTAAACAAATAGGTTGGAAATTAGGTCAACTCCAAGTGTTATCCTGTGGCACTCGTCATGTCAGTGAAGTAAAAATGAAAACATGTCAAACAGAAAAGAAAAAAAAACCTCCCCGTGTCCTGTTTCTATATGATGAGTCTGAACTAGCACGAGGCTGAACTGCAAACATATTAAAGTTAAACTATGTGGAGTAAAGAACAAAAGTCAAACTAAGTCAGAAAAATAAGAATGAACCTCGTCGCCCTCGTTAAAACAATCCCACTAAGAGATGCTTCATCAATTAACTGACCCACCGCTAAATAAGAATAAAATCCAAAGCTGCTCTCACTTCACAAACTAACATGTTTTATATTTATTTTTACTACAAATCACTCTACAAACAATTCTCTTATATGTTATCGAATGTGTCCTATGGATGTCTGAGGGGAACTGAAACAACAAACAGTGACTTTCAACTTTCTTTAAAGATCACAAAATGTGAAGTTCTAGAAGTTGCAGAGGTTCTGAAACAAGTCACCAGTTTCTAACCTTTCTCGAAGCCGTCCTGCGCCGTCGTAACGCGCATTTCCATGCAGAACGACTGACTTTGATTTCAAAAGGTTCTGAAAAACTGCCTTTCACAAACTGGTCCTTTACGGGTTTTTTTTTTTTTTTTTTTTATAAAAGCATCGCAAATCCTTGAGATGCCGATGGTATGCCTTTGTCACGTCTCCCCCCTCCTGCTTCTTCCACCTGCTCCTTTGTCATCCGAGCTGTTTGTTGTCTTGAAATCAAATCATCCGTCATTGTTATCATTTCAATATTTCACTTTATCAGCAAGTCCCATTGAGATCTCTTTTACAACCTCGTCAAGGTTGGACTCCCATCTTCACCTCGGTGCTTTTCTTAAACTCCGTGAGAACGCCACAAAGCTCCGGCAACACAATCATTTAGAAGGAAAAGAGAAAAAAAACTTACTTCCACCTTAACTTGGTGGCTGCAAATGACAGATGTTTGGAAGAGGAGGCAAACTAATAATTTATATGAACATGAATAAAACATGGGTGCGAGCTAATGCAACAATTTAGCATCCGTAAATAATTTATCGAAGGATTTAAGCAATGCTTGTTAACGGTCAACAGACATTATATAATTCTAAAATATTTGTGATCGTGGAAACTTTCCTTCAGGAGGGTTACGTGAAGCTGTATTAATATTAAATGATGGTCAAACGACTGAATGAATGAATGAATGGATGGATGGATGAATGAATGGATGCTGCTCCTGGTCTTTGTCATCGATCGGCCACAAAAGAATCATCGTCAATGTGATATATTAGGGGGAAAAAACATTCCAAAACAGTTGAACAAATATATTTAAACACTACATCTGTACACCTGCTTGTGAATTAAAGCCACATATTGGACATTAGATGTTTACTACGCTGCTAGAATTTCATTATGCTGCAATATAGATCTGCCCCAGAACAGAAGAGTCCATTCATTCAGCTCTGGTTGATGCAAATCTTTCAAAATAATCCAGAATAATGTCAGGAAAAAATGTGTGTTTGCATTTAAGAAGAGCTGAGGAGCACAGCTATGCATCAACAGAAACCCAAACATATATATTAATCTATTAAACTGATAACTCTATGATATGGAGTTTGTCTGAAGTATTACCAGATTAAAAAAAAAAAAGTCTTCTTCCCCCCAATAGATGAGTTTCTCAGCATCAACTGGATGCAAAGAAACTACATCAATTAGATGCTTTGGCTGTGTGAAACATGTGAATGAAATAGCAGCTGTCAAAGAAGACGGTCTCTTAGTGCCTCAGAACCTGCAGACTAATTACATCTGTCAAAGGAAGGTATGAATGTCACCCATAGAAACACTTGTGGCTCACAAATAATTGCATACTTCTGTCTTTGCAGGGTGTACACCATAGAAATGGTCTTATTTGTGAGATGCGGGGGTAAAGACGGGCCCCGCGGATGCAATAAGTGAATGCGGTAGCTAAGCAGGAGTAGTAGGTGTGACATGGAATTATGGGAAATTACACTTACCGTGAGATTACATAAACCACTCACCAAGCTGGAATCCGGCTCCTTAAATTAAGAGAACCCATTTCACCCATCAGACAGAGCAAGGTAATGAAATAGCAGATGAGAGGTCTCAAATGTAATTTTCCATGTGGAGTTCTTTTGTGCTGTTATCTCAGAGGGTGCAATAATGATTCTGTGAATGACTTTTGTGCACCCCATAATGGCCCGCAGTAGCTAAGGCCACAGTGTGT